TTAATATTAAAATTAGATACAATTTTGGTCTTTCTCTTCTTTAGAGTGGCCTGAAGTGATCTTTGAAAGTCTCTTCACTTGACCCAGAGACTTCTACAAATCATGCAAATCAAGAAGTTCACATCTTCCTGTTCACTTTTTAAGAACAGCCGTGAAACTGCCCAGGCCAACCAGGGTATGCATATGTGAAAAGCCATCAAGTATCTGAAAGATGTCACTCTACAGAAGCAGTGTATGCCATTCTGTCATTACAGTGGTAGAGTTGGTAGGTGTGTCCAGGCCAAAGAGTGGGACCTGACACAGGGTCAGTGCTAAATTTTTTGCTGTACACACTTTAAAATGCAGAGAGTAGTGCTGAGAGTAAGGGTTTGGATGTAGATTCTCTAGTCATTGAGCACACTCCGTTGAAAAAGGTGCCCAAGATGGGCTGTCATACTTACAGAGCTCATGGTTGGATTAATTCGCATTTGAGTTCCCCCTGCCATGCCAAGAAGATCCTTACTGAAGAAAGAGAAGGATATTGTTCTTAAACCAGAAGAGGAGGTTGCATAGAAGAAAAAGACATTCTAGACGAAAATGAGAAAAAAACAGAAAAAAACTTACAGCATGGGAATAAATTCAACATTAAAAAACGTAGATAAGGGACCAGTGGTTGGCATAATGGTTATGTCGCTGGACTCCCATGTAGTTGACCACAGTTCGAGTCCCAAACCTGGTGGCTTAAACTCACCCCAGGTTCATGTGCGCCCAAGATCCCAAGAAGAGAATGGAGGAGAAGAAATTGTGATGTGGCCATCCTCCCTGGGGGGGTGATTTCTCGCTTTCTGTCTTTCTGTCTGTCTCTGTCTTTCTGTCGTTCTGGTGAGCGTATGAGCCCTATAGCAAAAACCTCTCCAAAAAAAAAAAAAAAGGAGGGGGGGCAGATAAAAGTTCGTTTTTGTTTTTGTTTTTGTTTAAAGAGATACAATTGCGTAGTTCTTAGTTATGGCACTAAGAGTTTTCGGTGATACAATTAATTGCATAGTTCTTAGTTACGGCACTAAGAGTTTTTGGCATGCAGTGAATTTATTTCTCTGTAATTTGGGATGCCATTTGAAAAAGCTTTGCAATGCATGTCAGTGCTCTCTGACCCATACCTTTTCTAAACACAGAATGCAATTCAGTAACATTGCAGATGGTGCAGAAATGGATGGACAAATAACATCATATTTTCCTAAATGATAACATGACGACACATTACATTTATTTTATGAACTGTTGAGAAATGAAGAGAAAATTTACTGGTCTTCCCCCCCCCCATTTCTTTCTTTTATATAGAACAAAATTACCCTTAGTTTGAGTTGTCATTTACTCAAAATGCAGGATGTAGCTTATGACATTAAGTTTGACAAGGGACAACAATGAAATCACTTTAGAGAAATACATAAACATATTTATAGAGGCCAAATGGACAATAAAAATAGCTTGGGGATTAAAAGTAAAGCGTGAAAAGGAGAAAAACAGGTTTCCAAGAGGTTCTGAAATGAACAGTGACAGCACTGATGTTAGAATTCAGGATATTGGACAAGACGGAAAAACAGGATTTCCTGAAGAAGGCCCTAGCATAGTTATCATCTCACCGTTCACTTATTTATGATCTCATTACAGAGAAGAGAGAAGGGAGTATTTTAGACCTGTGTTTTTAGATAATTCAGGACTGTTTATGGCAACCGATTTTTCTTGCCAATAGAACCCCCCAAGACCATTCATTACTTTTGTGTCTTTTCCCTCCAGTTTTGCACTTAATGAGTTAGAGACACAAGTTGCTCATAAATTTTATCTACCTTGCCACCTATTAAAATAGACATTATACAGATCATACATTGCATGCATGACTTTATATAATAAATCCATATTCCATTTCACCATTTTTTCTCTTTGCAACATGATTAAACCATCAGGATGCAAAATTATTCACCATTATTGAGGCGAAGCTATTTACTGAGTTCATTGCGCCAGACACTGTGTGATTGTGAAGGATAGAGTTGTGTGCTTGTTTCTTGTGACCATGTAATCTGTTTTTTCAGGGAAGGGGATCGTCTAGAATCAGAATTAGATGATAGGCAATGTCTGCCTAATCCTAAATGTTACTTAGCTTTTCAACGATAAATTATGCTGTCTTGCCAGTTTTTGTTATGGGAATTTGATTTGTGTGTGCTTGTTTCAACTTAAATTATAGTACTGTTTTACTTCAGTCTTGAAAATAGCAAATAAATGATAAATGAGCTACAACCAGTCATGACATGGGCAAGACCATAATAATTTTCTCCAAAGCTTTGCCTAATAAATCTAAATTTTGACTTACCAGCAAGTAACAGAGACAAGCTTTATTTATGCTACAGCTTATGCCAATTTCTCTGAAATTAGGCCAGAACTAGAAATTAAAAGCAAAATTTTACCGAATGACCATTGAGATAATGGAAGGGGAAGTTCTTCAAAAAAAATGAGTGTTTTCGGGGTCAGCAGATGGTGTAATGGTTAGTCCAGACTCCCACATAGATGACACGGTTCGAGTCCTAGACTCAGTGGCTTGAAATTCATACCAAGCACGTGTGCGTGCATGCCCAAGATGCCAGGAGGAAAATGCAGGAGAAGGGATTGAGGCATGACCATCCCCCTGGGGAGTAATTTCTTGCTTTCTGTCTCTCTGGCAAGCCCACACACCCTATAGCAAAAATAAATAAATGAAATGAAATGAAATGAAATAAAAATAAACTCTCTAAAACAATTTCCATTAAAGTATAAGGGATATTTATAGAATATAATAGATACTTTATCAATACTTTCTGTTACATAGTCTATCTTCTTCGTTAAGTTTTGATTGAATAGAGAAATACCATTGACAAAGACATTAGAATAGTTGCCTTCAAGACCAAGACAGTGAATTTTATGTTGAAAGGATACTAAATTTCTGTGAGTAAACATTTAATATTTTAGAATATGAATACCTTCATATATAATTCTCAAGAAATAGATGTAGATTGAGAGCTATTTCAAAGAACTGAATTAATTCTAGAAAAATTTTTGTAGACTAGTGATTTAAAAATGTTCACATTACTATGTATGTCCAAGAGCAGCCTTCAAGGGCCTCAGGTCTAAACTATTGACACTGTTGATTAGATAATAGTTTTCAAGGTGCATAATTATGTTTCTTCTAGTAGTCTGTCTAAACACAAAAGTATGTTAGTATTCTAGACAAAGCATGGGGGTGCATCTCTGAGATAAAACTTTTAACTTGTCTGCATAGAGGTATAGCAGTCCAGTGAATACTGTAGTTACTCAATAAAAACGAATTGAGGAGGATGATCAATTATGACAGCAGAGTTTTAGAAGTATCTAGAAATATTAAAAATAAGATTTTTAAATTAGCGAGATGAAGGATCTATTATAACCCCATTTGTAACTTCCAAAGTAATTTTTTTCTTTATTTATAATAGAGCTCATATGCACACATGTTTTCTCATATATGAGAGAGAGAGGTGAGCACCCTCCATAGCGTCTGTTCATGCCACATCCCGTAGCCTTTGGGTCTTGGGTGCTCGCGTGTGTGTGCCTGATGTGTTTCAGACTGACCTATCCAGGAATTGGACCCACGTTGCCATGTGGGTTCCAGCTTCTCTTGAATAGTGCATCACCACTGTGCCACAGAGCCTGGCCCCATTCATAGATGTTTTCTAATTGTATACCAGTTTTTCCTTCTAAGAAATATAATACCGAGATTTAAAAAAAAAAAAGTCAATGGAGAAAAACAAATGTGTTTTAAACAATGGTCAAAGACATATCAGCTTAAATCAAAGCACAAAAAACTCACTCAAATGTAATTACCCAAAATAGCACTTCTCACTTGTATGTAATAATCTCAGTGATTCCTTCTGTTAAAGTTGCCTTAGTTGTCATTCATGATTTTTTAAAAATTTGTGTTATGAACCCATTCTTCTCTAACATCGCCACTTTGTCCCTGTTGGTCTATTTTATTTTATTATTTTATTGTGTACAAGTATGTAGGCAAATTTTTCATGATAAGACAAATGTTTATAAGATGAAGAAGCTGCTGCTCAGTGAGTTTCATGGAGCATGAGTATGACAATTTCCTAGAATTTCCACTGACTTGTATTGATTAGTAACATAAAGCTGCTTTCTCATGGGGGCGTGATTGAATTTCTTACCTAATTTAAGAGATACTTAACCTGTTTTAGGATCGCTATTTATTTATAGCCATGTCTATTGACAGTTAAGAATTTAAAAAATGACCAGAGTTGGTAGCTTTTTTATATTAACCTTCCGATGACAGCTTTTCCTAAAAGTCAGTGTATTTCCACATTTATATTAAATATTGATGAGTGGAGGGGAGTTTTTTCGTAAGGATTATAAATCCATTTGGGCTGGGAAGAGCATTTGCTGTGAATGCACAACCTTCTGAGGTGCATTTCTCTTAAGACTGATAAGCTTTGGGAAATATTAGGCCTTAGGAAATGAGTGGCAGAGTCAGTTCTTCTGAAGAGCCCAATTCTTTAATATTCATAAAATGCAAGACTCTTATGTTAAATACTGGTATAAACTATAATATTTATAAATGAGACCAGCCAAATGATTTGAAAGCTCTCTGCATTTAATTTTTGACCTGTCTTTCAAATGGAAATATTGGTGTTCTTTTTATGAATACTGCATTTTCTGTGTCTAGTTGGGAATGATATGTATATTCAATCCTAGTTTGATTATTTTTTGTTTTAAGTCTTTCCAAGTTTATATTTTAAAGCTTTTATAATATGATTTTTTGATAATTGTATTAGAGCTATTTTAAAATAAATAAATATATATATAATGTTCAATAATGCAAGTATGAGTGAAATAAATTATTTACTTTCAGTTTGGAAGAGGTGAATAAAAAGTGCTTGGCCAATACCGTACCATTAATCTATTCTCTTTTCTCCTTTCTCTCTTTACTTCTCTCTCTCCAATAGAAGTGGAACAAAAAGGTAATTAAATACCTTTCCTAAATTATATATTATTTATAGGCTAAGTTACTTAACAGTTTAACATTTAGTTAAAATAATTTTGTTATTAATTCTTATCTATTTTATGGAAATTTATTTACTACTTCTGCTGCTCAACTTCACTTTAATTTGTTTTACTGACCAATGCCTGTTTGATCCTTTTTTATCCTAAAACAGTTTAATAGTGTAAAACTACAGCAGTGCATTCTCTTCCTTCTTATTTTAAAATAAGTAGAAATCCAGCAGGTAGTGATGGGTAGTGGTTGTTTTAGATTTGTTTTTATATCTATAATAGATCATTGTCCATAGCTCTGGTGTGGTTTCCCCCGTTCCATAATTTTTAACTGTCAGGGAATAAGAGATAGTATACTGACATAGCCAAAAGCACATTACTTTAGCAACCAATGACTGTTAACTTGAACATGGAAATTACATACAGTTTTGACAACAATGAGTACCTGTTCTTTTTCGTTATAGCAGTTATCCAAATTTAAATTTATTTTATAAATGGATAAATTATAAAATTATACTGAAAATTTTGAGGAATTCTTATACTAATCAAAATTATTACTGACTGTATATTGACAATGACCCTCTATCCCTGCTATAGAAGATTTGGGTAGTCAGCTTTTCCCCTAAACTTTTCATTTCTTCAAAAATAAAATTTGGAGTATTTTAGTAATATATTTTCCATTTCAATAACCTCCCAGACCTAGCTGAGTTTCGCCTTACATTATATTCCAGGAGATCTATACTTACGCTCGTTGTTAAAAAGCTAATCGCTAATGCTGAAAATATAATCCTATAATCATTAAAAAAGTGGGTCAACCTCCAAATTCCTTGTGATTTCCTAATTTCTCCACCCAGTACACTAATCATTTCCAGCGTAACAGTAGACTGCATGATTTTTTTTTTTTTGCGTGTGTTTGCTTTGCAAATATATTAGAGCAGTGTTTCCCATAGCAGGTTCACCAGAACGCTATGTTCCAAAGAGGCTTGGTAGAAATCGTCCCATCATCTAATAAATTAGTTCATGAAATTTGCTCACCTTTCCAATGTGTGCCTTTGAAATTCACAAATGTGCCCAGTATTGGAATCTCGCCACCATTGTATTGCATGCGATGGATTGGTCTTACAGACACGTGGCTCACAGGATTCCTGTTGTCTTTCTGTGTAACATCTAGCCAAACCACCTGAACAGGTGCTTCAAGGACCACCCTTTGGGAAACATTGCTTTATATAGCCCCCTCATTACAGACACAGCAGCCAGTCTTTCTACCACTCACGCAGTATCCAAGGGAATTGGCAGATTCCTGTCCATTTTCATTCTGAAGTATGAGCAGCAAAATATTATAGCAAGTAATCTTGTTTTTTAATGCTCTTCTCATGTAACAGTAAAAGGTACATGTTTTTAAGTTCCAATACTACTGTATTTAACAGGACATTTTTAACTGATTAAAATCTAGAGCTTGGGTTCTTTTCTGTAACCTTTCACCTATTCTTCTTTCTTTATTCCTTCTTTCCTTTCTTTTTCTTCCTTTCTCTTTTCCTTCCAGTATCCATCCATCACCCATTTTTAATTGTGTGGGTTGCATGCTCTGTGTGTGTTGCAGCAGCTTGGAGAGGTTTTATTTGCCAGAAGATTTAGTGGCTTATATTACAGGGCTTTTCTTTTCCTTTACTTTTTTTTTGGTGAAATTACTATGGCTTATCCATCTGTTTTTTTAATGATAACAATTGACTATCTAATTTTCAGAGTGGAAACAATATATTTTTTATTTCCAAATAAGAAAAAAAAAGGTTCTTCAATGAACTTATATTACAGGGCTTTTCTTTTCCTTTACTTTATTTTTTTTTTGGTGAAATTACTATGGCTTATCCATCTGTTTTTTTAATGATAACAATTGACTATCTAATTTTCAGAGTGGAAACAATATATTTTTATTTCCAAATCAGAAAAAAAAAAAGGTTCCTCAATGAACTGTTAAAAGCATCGTGTGGAAACTTCTCCATTTGTTATATGTCTATGGAAGACGTAGACATGTGGCACATCTGATATATGTATATATATATATATCCCAAAATATTACAGCACATGTTTACCAAGGTAAAAATTACAGGAAGATACAGCAACTCATTGAAAAAGGCTAAATTTTTCTGCAAAGGCAAGGAAAAGCAATTTTGAACAGATGAAATGAATGTGGTAGAATGCTTTGTGTTCTTAAAGGAGTACAGCAAAAATAATTGGTGGTGGGTATCGCTTGTTAGAGTTGCATTCCGTTTGGTGAAAAATACGAATATATGAGGAAAATGCAAAGTTAATGTATTTACTATTTTAACTCTTTCCAACAACAGTTTTTCTTTGTCCTGGCCTGCTGAAAGGAGTATACCAGAGTGAACATTTATTTGAGTCCGACCACCAGTCTGGGGCATGGTGCAAAGACCCCCTGCAGGCTTCTGACAAGATTTATTATATGCCCTGGACCCCCTACAGAACTGATACCCTGACAGAGTATTCATCCAAGGATGACTTTATTGCTGGAAGGCCAACTACAACCTATAAGCTCCCCCACAGAGTGGATGGCACAGGATTTGGGGTCTATGACGGAGCTTTGTTTTTCAACAAAGAGCGCACCAGGAACATTGTGAAGTTTGACTTGCGGACTAGAATCAAGAGTGGTGAGGCCATCATAGCCAACGCCAATTACCACGATACTTCCCCTTACCGATGGGGAGGCAAGTCTGACATAGACCTAGCAGTGGATGAGAATGGGCTATGGGTCATCTATGCAACAGAACAGAACAACGGTAAAATTGTCATCAGTCAGTTGAACCCTTACACCCTACGGATCGAAGGGACATGGGATACCGCCTATGATAAAAGGTCCGCCTCCAATGCCTTTATGATTTGTGGGATTCTGTACGTGGTCAAATCTGTCTACGAGGATGATGACAATGAGGCCACTGGAAATAAGATCGACTACATTTACAACACCGACCAGAGCAAGGATAGTCTGGTGGATGTACCGTTTCCCAATTCATACCAGTACATAGCAGCAGTGGATTACAATCCCAGGGACAACCTGCTTTATGTGTGGAATAACTACCACGTCGTGAAATATTCCTTGGATTTTGGACCTTTGGACAGTAGATCAGGTATGTTTGGCTTTTAATGATACCCAGCAGAGAAATGTTTACAGTTTGTTTGCCATCATTTGTTGTGCGTTTTGATGACGTTTCTTTTATAATCTTTCTTGTGGCCTGTGTACCTGAAAATAGTTCATTGTCCTTTCACCTATACAAGGGGATGATTAATCATTTTCTGTGTTAAGAACATGTATGCCACTGCAAGACATGGACTTCCCTTTCTGCAGCTGGTCTCCGATCTTCAGTCCTTTTTCTTTAAAGGACATCCGTCGCTATCAGCTGGTTAGTTCTTTGTACGGTGAAGTACATGAAATCTTGCTAAAAGAATGCCATCCTGTCTAATTAACTGTGAAATGCCCTCAGGAGTGCTTTCCACTTAGCACCTGTTAAGGGTTACCTCCATACGCTTCAGGAGCCTTGCACCAATCTGCTCACCCCACAAGTAGCATCACATACAATTACCCCTATCGGGAATATTGTCAGTGTGAGTGTACTTGGGTGTGAGTGAACCTAACTGATATGTATAGAAAAAGTTTCCAATTCATAAATATGGAAAAGATTAGACCTGAATTTTTTTAAGAAATAATAACGAAAAACAATTTTGTAAGCTTGTGGTATTAGGTTGTCAGGATTGTCATATTTTTCTGTTTTTCTATGCAGAAATGCACATGGCTTTCCTGACAACCCAATAGTTTCTATTTTAATTCTTTAAAAGTGTCATTTTCTCCTCTAGAATGTACTGTTTCCTTTTAATTTTTTGAAAATTATTTATTTAACCTCATTTATAATAATTATTATTATTGTTGTTTAAAAATTTTTTCAGAGAGATTGAAAGGGAGAAAGCAAACCTCCAGGTCCAGGACTTGAACCACAGTCGGCTTTGTGGGAGTCCAGCATCTTAACCACCACACCACCTGCCAGCCCCTTTAATATTGTTTAAAGGCAGCCATAAATAGCTTTAATGTTTTTCCATTTTATTTAAATGCCAGAGCAAAATTATCTTAAATTAAAAAGTTAAATTGTATAACCACCCACCATAGAGTTCTGCAAGATAACGTATACTGGGGAACTGAGATGTAGGTGTGTGAATTTTGTTTGTTTTTGTTTGTTTGTTTGTTTGTTTTTTGGAGAGGTTTTTGCTATAGGGCTCATGTGCTCACCAGAAAGACAGAGAGAGACAGAGAGAAAGAAAGGGAGAAATCCGCCCCCAGGAGGGATGGCCACACTGCAATCCCTTCTCCTCCGTTCTTCTCTTGAGATCTTGGGCACGCACGCACATGCGCATGGCATGAGTTTAAGCCACCAGGTGTGGGACTTGACTTTCACTGGACGACACGGGAGTCCAGGGACATAACCATTACACTCTCTGCTGGTCCTGGTGTGTGAATTTTGATAGTAATGTAGCAATTCAGAAATTTAATGATTTCTATCCAGAGTATTTCTGTTAATATTTCTTAATTTTCTGCATCCTTACTGTGCTTTCTTTCGCTACAGGCCATTCTGCTTACTGACTTAGGCCACGATACATGTACCTTACGGAACTAGAACTCTTCAGTTTCTACGATCAATATCCTTGCCTCACCTATCCACTTATTATACTTTTCTGTGATTATTTCTATATTTTCAAAAATTAGGATAATCTATGCATATACATGTGTATAGACATAGGGAAATTTAGATATATAACCCAATAGCTCTGCTGAATGAATGAATAAATGACTTTCTTTTTCTTGAGTTTTGGAGAGGGTTTTCTTTTTTTTTTTTTTTGCTATAGAGCACATGCGCTTGCCAGAAAGAGAGAGACAAACAGAAAGCGAGAAATCACTCCCTAGGGGAGCTGGCCATGCCGCAATCCCTTCCAATCCCTTCTCCTTCATTCTCCTCTCGGGATCATGGGCACACATGCACACACATGTGCCCGGCGTGAGTTTAAGCCACCAGGTCTGGGATTCAAACCCTGATTGACTACATGGGAGTCCAACGACATAGCCATTACTCCGCCTGCTGGTCCCAGACTTTCCACTTCTTATTAAGATAGATTTCTCTACTCTGAGACACTTCAGTTAGGATGACAGTACTAGTTTCCATAGTCATCCATGCTGACGTGCTGATTTGGCTTTTATGCAAAGAAAACTCCAAATATGTGAAAGCAAACTTCTCCTTAGTCCTCAAAAAATCTCCTAGACAACTGCGTTATCTAACTTACCACTGTGCAGGTATGACCTTTTTAAACCAATATGCTCTGCAACTGGAAACCTAAGAATCCATCTTATGGCGTATTATGGGAAGACAATTCTTTCATAGCTATGGGTTGTTGTTGTTTTTCCAACTTGCCAGAGAGCACATGTGCTCACTGGAAGGTGACAGAGAAAGAGGGAAAGATGGAAATGAGAAGCACCCTCCTACTGGGGAAAGAGGGAAATGAGAAGCACCCTCCTACTGGGCATAGTAATTCTTTTTCCTCCATTTTCACTCCTTTTCAGGATTCTGGGCATACCTACATGTATGCCCTGTGTGTTTTCCACGTCAGCAGTTTCGGGACTCAAACTGTGCAGCTGGCCATGTGGGATCCAGCCACTTTAACCACTGTGCCATTGGCTGGCCCAGCTGTGGTGTTCATAGACTGAAACTGGTATATGTCAGTAAAAGTTCTTTATGCATGGTACTTAGCTTTTTTTGACTCTTGGAACAGAAAGTAATTTCTCATTGTCTCAAAGGAAAGAATGAGTAATGACTACCATGTTTTCCAAGTAACAGTAAATCAGTAAATAACGGACAATAGCATTTCAAATTCTGTTTATCCTACGTTATGTTTACTTAGAATAAGATATAGGTTAAAAGAAATTAGTATTTCAGATTTTTATTTGATAAACTAAAATTCTTAACTCAGCTTATGAGTGGTCTTCAGAGCACTGGAGAAAAAAGGAATTAAAACATCAGTCTGAGTTTAGAAATGTTTGAAATGCACTCATAGACTTTTTTTATATGCATTTTTCACGAACTTCTTGAAGACTCCGCTCATACATGAATTACCTCTAAAAGTAAGATAGTACTGTAGTTGTGTACACACATACACACACCCACGGATACAAGTTTGTAATTCTGGACAGAAGGAAATGATACCATTCATTTAATTGTATTTATCCGTGTGTTTATTTATGAGAGTTAAAACGTGGGCCATCTTGTGCACATGCTGTAGTACCCACATTTGTGAAAACGATGGTGTTAAAGTGGCAAATATTGAAAGCTGATAAGTTAAAGCTTTTTTTTTTTTTTTTACTTCTTTTTTTTTTGGAGAGATTTTCACTGTA